CCAGAGACGCGGCGACGAGCACGCCGACTGCCTGGCCGTGAGGAGGGCCCAGATGCATGCAGGGGACAAGCTGACCGTGGGCGTGCACCAGGCGCAGGCGGGGTTCGTGCAGGAACTCCGGCGCTGGATCTGGTGGGCCGATCCTCGGGCAAGGCGTCGAGGCCAGGGACGGCGAAGGGCTCCCTCATGCTGCCGAACGGCGCCAGGCGCGTGTCGCTGACGCCGAGAGGTCGCAGGCGGCGGAGGAGGCCAAGGGCGAGGGGCCGTCGGCCGAGCGGCCGCGCCTGGAGAGCGCCCGCTCGACAGGCAACAGCTCGGCAGCCCTTTCGGCCAGTGCAGTAGCCTGCAGCATCCTGGGACATGCCCTGTCCTACGCCTGTGCAGGAGAAGGTGAGGACACCCAGGAGCTCGTGGCGTGCTCCAAGTGTGGCGCCTACATGACGCTGGGCGGCCGCTCTGGGGTTAAGCCTCGCCTCAAGGAGCGGTGCCCAGGCGACAAGACCGACAAGGGCGGCAGGAACCAGCGCAGCCTGTGGCTACGAGGACTCCATCCTGGAGGCAGGAGGCAAGAGGGGTCACGAGCTGCCAGGCACAGAGTGAAAGGAGAGGGCATCCCTACGCTGCGTTCGCAGGGTCCAGTGCCAGAGCACGCGCAGGAGCGGTACCTGGAGTGGCTTGGCACGGCAGCGGAGCCAGCTGCAGACCCCTCGGCCTCGGCGAGCAGTGCAGGCAGCGCCCCAGCGGCAGCTGCTGAGCCGCGAGAGGCTGCGGACCCAGGAGGAGACCCCTCGGAAGCGGCCGTGGCTGCGGCCGCCGCCAGCCTGCCCAAGCGGCGCCCAGCTGCAGCGGGAGTGGGGAACCTCGGCGAGTTCGGGGTCGTCGATGAGGAGCTCGCCGCCGCGGCCGGCCCTGAGGGCGGAGCCCTGGAAGGCCGCAGGGTACGCCGCCGCGTGGCGCGCCGTGGCGGCCTGTCCGTGAGTGAGTGAGCGAAAGGTTGCATCGCTGTGGCTCGCGCCTGCTGCTCCGCCTGGGAGCAGGCTTCCGCCGCCCTCGGTGCCTTTGGGACTCGGCGTCTCTCGGGAACGCGGGTCCCGTCTGGCCCTGTCCGTGTGCTTGCGCTTTGCCTTGAAGGCCCCGTCTTTAACTTTGACTTTAACGCGCCACCGACAGAGGTCGACGGCCGCGCCGGCCTCCGCGCAGGCCCGGGCGCAGGCCCCATCAGCAGCCCTGTCCGAGACGCCCCTGTTGGGCCTGGTGCGCCTCGCACCTGTGAAGGGGCCCCAGGACACACAAACAAATACACACAAATGAGAATCGTCCCCATCTGTTCCCATATTTTCGGGGTTTCTGTCTCCCCCCCCACTCCCCATATTTTCCCGTATTTTCTGGGGAATCGAGGACTGACTGTGTCTGTGTGTTTCTTTTCCTCCTGAACCTGGTCTGGGCCCTGCCCCTGAGCGTGCGCCCTGCGGCAGCGGCCGGCGGGCCCCGCGGTGCGCCAAGAGTGCAGCACGGACGGGCTGCCGCACGGGCAGCCGTCCCCGGCAGGCGACCGGCCCAGACGTCCGACGCCGTGAGCTTCTCAAGACGGGGCCCGAAGAGGTCTGGACCCTTCCCTCGGGAGCGGCCAAGAGGGGGGTGTCCAAGAGGGGGGGGTGCAGATCATGACCGGCGGCACGTGCGCGGCCCAGCGGGGGGGCCAAGGACGTAATGAAACAAGAGGGGGCGCCATGAGATCTGGGGAAAGATCATGGCCCCCGCCATGATATCCCCCCCCCCCTAGTCATCACCCCTCTCTTTTCCGCCCCGCATTCCCCCAGGGCCGGGCCGGCTCTTCATCCAGAGTCGCTTTCAGACAGTCCCGGGCCCGGGCACCCCATTGCGCAGAAGACCGGGGGGGGGAACAAAAAAACGCCTCCATACCCAGACCCCCGACGTCATGATTTTTTCATGACGCGACCCCCAGAGGTCTGGACCTATTCGCCGGGACCGGCTTTCCATTCTGAATAGTTTTTTCACGGTCCCGAGGCCCGGTGAGGACCTCCAGAGGGCGAAAATAGCGAAAAACCTTCCGTCGTGATTTTTTCACGACGCGATGGGGTCTGGGTATGCAGCTCCTCGAGGCGTTGGACCTTTGGGCTCGGCGGCGTCTGCTTTCCGGATCCGAGCTCGGGTCTCCTGCGGCCGCCCGGAAGGATCTGCACACCCCGGGGAGCGCTCTCGGCGAGGCGCCGGCGCTGGCAGGCACCCCGCGGCCAGAGAACCGCCGAGAAGCGACGAACACGCCGGAACACCTGGAACCTCGAACGCCCTCGACCTTTCCCCCCCCCAGACATCCGACGTTTCGATTTTTTCGAGACACGGGCCACCACCCTCCCGACCACTTCCCCGGGACCGGTTTTTCATCCCGAGTCGTTCTTTGACGGTCCCGAGGCCCGGCGAGGGCCTCCAGAGGCCGAAAACGAGGAAAAACCTTTGTCTCGATTTTTTCGAGACGCCCGAGGTCTGGCTGGGCTCGACCTTCCCCCCCCCTCGCTCACTTCCCCCCCCTCTCTCTCGCCGCCGACTCCGGGGACCTCGGAAGCCAAAACGGGGCGCCACCGCACGGTGCGTCGCCGCGCGGTACCTTCTGGGGCCCGCGAGGCCGCGTTCGCGGAGCAGCACTGCTTTGGCGTGCGGCACGCTGATCATCTCAACGTGCTCCTCCAATTGCATGCTGTCCTCGTTCCTCCTGCATACCCAGACCCCCGACGTCATGATTTTCTCAGGACGCGAACCCCAGAGGTCCGGACCTATTCGCCGGGACCGGTTTTTCATCCTGAATTGTTTTTTGACGGTCCCGAGGGCCGGTAAGGGCCCCCAGAGGAGTAAAATATGGAAACACCTCCCGTCGTGATTTTTTCATGCCTCGAGGGGGTCTGGGTATTTTACAGGGGGATCTGTTCAGTAGAAAGGCTCCCGTGGAGACCTGCCTCCTATATCGCGGGAATGCTCCCGCCTGCCTCGGCCCCGAGCGCCGCCCGACGGGTGGCCTCGGAGCACGCCCCGACGAGCCGACGGCAACGCCTGGCGCCCGGAGCTGCGCGGGACGTTCTGGAGGCCTGGGGGCTGGGCACGGGCTGCGGCCGCCAGGCCTTCAAAGAGGGGCCCGGTGCCCCCCGGGGATGTACCCCCTCTCAGAAGGCAGAACATCCACCCCGAGAATGACCACCCCGACACGCGAGGCCTTTTCGTAAACGCGCCCAAAGAAGGAATCGATCGGGGCAGGGCTGTTTAGTAAACGCCCAAGGCCATTAGTAAACGCCAATTGTCCGGTCCGGGTGTTTTTTCCTCCTCCTCCTCCTCCTCCTCCTCCTCCTCCTCCTCCTCCTCCTCCTCCTCCTCCTCCTCCTCCTCCCCCTTGATCTCGCGCTCTCGGGTATAGGCGTTGCTCGCTCTGCCGTGCGGGGTGCCCAGATCCCCTCGCGCCGCGACACAAAAACACGACGGGAGGTTCTGCGCTATTTTCGGCCTCTGGGGGCCCTCGCCGGGCCCCAGGAGCGTCAAGAAACGACTCAGGATGCGAAGCCAGTCCCGGGGAAGGGGTCGAGACCTCTGGGGGTCGGCGCTGTGGAAAAATCACGACGTCGGGGGTCTGGGATCGTCCCGACAAGACCATACCTCGGAGACTCAACAAGCCTCAAATCGGGTCGCTGGCTGTGCGGCGTCCCAGGGGAATTCTTGAGGCAGCCGAATGTCGCCAGCTTTTGCGTCATGGAGCTGCTTGTCCGGGCGCTGGGGTCAGAACACCGCGACCACAAACCCTCCGCCGGGGGGTCCCTCGAGACGTTCTCACACATGCGACGTCCAGACTTCTTCAACACGGCGCCCCTGGAAGTCCCGACCCTCGCCCCCCAAGACCGGAGTTTCACCCCGGCTTGCTTTTGGACGGCCCGGGGGCCCGGCGAGGGCCCTCCGGGGCCGAAAATAGCGAAACGCTGTCCGTCCTGATGTTTTTTGTTTGGCGCCGCGATCATCACGTCTGGATTAGGGCCCTGGGACACACAAATAAATACACACAAATAAAAATATTGCTTATATTTGTCTATGTTTTCTGGGTTTTTGTCTTCCCCCCCACTTCCCATATTTTCCCATATTTTCCTGGGGATCGACAATTCATTGTGTCTGTGTCTGTCTGTCTGTCTGTGTGTGTCTGTCTGTGTGTGTGTCTGTGTGTGTGTCTGTGTGTTTGTGTGTCTGTGTGTCTGTGTGTCTGTGTGTCTGTGTGTCTGTGTGTCTGTGTGTCTGTGTGTCTGTGTGTCTGTGTGTCTGTGTGTCTGTGTGTCTGTGTGTCTGTGTGTCTGTGTGTCTCTGTGTCTGTGTGTGTCTGTGTCTGTGTCTGTGTGTCTGTGTGTCTGTGTGTCTGTGTGTCTGTGTGTCTGTGTGTCTGTGTGTCTGTGTGTCTGTGTGTCTGTGTGTCTGTGTGTCTGTGTGTCTGTGTCTGTCTGTGTGTGTGTGTTTTTCCCTCCTGAGTCTGGATTAGAGGTCTGGGGTGGGCGCGGGCTGCCGGCCAAGGGCTCGGGGAACCCCCTGGGGCCCTCCGTGGCTCTCCAGAGGGGCGCCCCTCCTCCGCGGCGGTTGGCCCTCGGGGGGGGGGGGTCCCGCGCCTTGGAAGCTGCTGGCGGGCCAGGTCGGCCGCGCGACTGCCTCTTCGAGCCGCCCTGCTGCGCGGCAGGGGCGGGCGCCGCCGCGCGCGAGCGCGTCATCGTCGGGACGGCCGAAGCGCGCCCAGCCCGGCTTCGTGGCAAGACGTGCCAGGCGGATGGCACTGCAGGACACATGGACGACCTGCGGGACATCATGATCACGATGGAGGGTGGAGCAGGAGGAGGAGGGGGGGGAGACGGAGGAGGATAAGGAGCGAAGAGAGGAGACTGAGAGAGGAGAAGGGAGAGGGACGAGGACGGAGGAAGGAGGGAGGAAGGAGGGAGGAACGACGAGGAGGGAGGAGTGACGCGGTGGGGAGGGAGAAAGAGATCAAGGATCGAGATGGAGAGCAGTAACGGCGTCTGAAAGCCGCAACTTTTCACCACACATCACTCGTGCAGCCAAGGCAGATTCTCGAAGCTGATGGCTATGCGGCCACCATGCCTGGGCGGCAATTCCTCTTCCTCCTTCTCTTGTTCATTACTATGCACAGCCTCGGCATCCCCGCTAATTACCCTCCTCCGCCTCCTCCGCATCATCATCCTTCTCATCATGAGCAGCATCATAATTATCATTATCCCCGCATCGTCATCGCAATAATCAGCACCACCATCATCACCATCACCATCATCATCATCATCATCAGCATCATCATCAGCCGCATCATTATCATCGTCACCACCACCATCACCGTCATCATCAGCATCAACATCAGCATATCCATCATTATCATCATCACCACCACCATCGTCATCAGCAGCATCATCATCATCACCAGCATCACCACCATCACAAGCGCCATCTCCATTGACATCACCAGCGTCCGCATCATCCTCCTCATCATCATCATCATCAGCAGCATCAGCATCCTCATCATCATCACCAGCATCAGCATCATCATCTTCACCATCATCAAAATCATCATCATCCAACTTATCAGCAGCAGCATCATCAGCATCCTCATCATCATCACCAGCATCAGCATCATCATCTTCACCATCATCAAAATCATCATCATCCAACTTATCAGCAGCAGCAGCATCATCCTCATCATCCTCATCATCCTCATCATCCTCATCCTCATCCTCATCCTCATCCTCATCCTCATCATCATCATCATCATCATCATCATCATCATCATCATCATCATCATCATCATCATCATCATCCCCATCATCCCCGTCCTCCTCCCCCTCCTGCTCCTCCTCCTCCTCTTCCTGCTCCTGGGAAGAGCCCACCATGCCTGGGCGGCGCAGGGTTCGTCGGCACACCCCCGACGAGCTTGTCTTCGCACCTGCGGGGCCCCCGACATATTTTGAGGCAGGAGGAGCGGTCCTGGGAGGGTCCTCCAGGACGTGTGTTCCTCCCTCTCTCCTCCCCCGTCTCCTCCGTTTCTCATCCCTTCCTCCTCCGTTCCTCCTCCCTGTCTCCTCCCTCCTCCTACTCCTTGTCTCCCTCCTCCTCCTCCTCCTCCTCCTCCTCCTCCTCCTCCTCCTCCTCCTCCTCCTCCCCCTCCCCTGGGATCAGACGCTGCGAGAAATATGAAACATCGCGAAACATTTCGACCAGAGCCCTAGACCCCTTCTTTCCGCTGCACTTTCGAGCTGGATCGATCTGTGATGGCCCCGGGGCCCGAGGGGAGGCAACACCGCCAGTGGTGACAAGATCCGAGGCCCCGATCTCACGGTCCCCCTTCTCTCTCTTCCCCCCCTCTCACTTCTAGAGGAACGGAGAACGGCATAAACATAAACTTTGGAAGGTCCGCGCGGATTTTTGGGATCCGCGCTGGACCCCCATCGCTGGCGCGCGGAGCGCGCCAGGGGCGGCGCCAGAGGCGCCGCGATCGGAGTCCAGCGCCGATCCAAGAAATCCATGTGGACTTCTGGAAATTTATGTTTATGAAGTTCTTCCTTCGTCGACATCTGCCATTACTTGTCACTTCGGAGAGCACTCTGGAACGCACTGGAACGAATTTCCACTGTCCCAGCCCTGCCCGCAGACACAGCTTTTCTGCAACATCTTTCGAGCCAGATCGATCCGTCATGGCCCCAGGGCCCGAGACGGCCCAAATCTCAGGGTCCCCCTGCCCCCTCCCGCTCGTCGTCCCCGTCCTCGTCCTCCCTTTCCCTCTTCCTCCTCCTCCTCCTCCCGCTTTTCCTCCTACCCCTCTCCCCCTCTCCTCCCTCTCCTCCCCCCCTCTCTCCCCCTCCCCCTCCTTTTCCTCCTCCATCCCCCCCTGCCCCCTCGCCGTCCCCTCCCTCGCCCACGCGTCGGCCCCCAAGGGGCACCCCGCGCCCGAGGTCCACCACTGCGTGCCGTTGGGGCCGGGCATTGCGCCCCCGTGGCCGCAGCTGTAGGTGTTCGCGGCGGCGTCCTCGGGCGGCTCGACGGGGAAGGAGGGAGGGAGGAGGAAGGAGGAGGAGGAGGAGGAGGAGGAGGAGGAGAAGGACGAGGAGCAGGAGAAGAAGGAGGAGGAGGAGGAGGAGGACGAGGGGGGGAGGAGGAGGAGGAGGAGGAGGAGGAGGAGGAGGAGGAGGAGGAGGAGGAGGAGGAGGAAGAGAAGGAGGAGGAGCCGTCACGGCTACATCGGCAGGCGGTCTTGATTTGTGGTTCTATTCTCGGGCGTGGTCTGCAGGCGCGACCCATGTGTCGTCGTACGTGGCGCCTTCAACCTTCTCGGTGCGCCCAAGGGACGACCTGGGCATTCATCGCGCCTGTTGTTCGCGCGCGACTGCCGGCGCTGGCGCGAGCATGATGCTCCTTCGCCTCGCCCGCGGGGCGGCGCGAGAACGTCTTCCGCATAAGACCGCGGGGGTGGCAACTACGCGACGCTTGATGGCACAATCCGGCGCCAGTAGAACGAGTATAATCTAAGCGCTGTCACGCGACGGGCGGGGGTATCTGTGCGTTGACAATAGGAGACGACGTGTTGTGGGAACTCGTAAAATCAGAAGCCACAGCGCGGGCGCCACAATAAAGGCGGGTTGTTGCTGGGCGCGCGGTGGGGAGTTCGACGCGGTTGCACTCGCAGCGCTGCGCGTGTCGTTGTCGCCCGGACGACGGGATTCTGCTGGCGCTGCCAGTTGGGAGCGCCGCCATTAATCACAAGGCGGCCCATGGCCGCTAAGATTTCGAGAATTGGAGTTGGGCCAGCGCTGGCAGGAGGGGGAGGGGAGGGAGGGAAGGGGGGTGGGAGGGAAGGCGGAGGGGCAGGGAAAGGGGGGGAGGGGAAGGGGGGGGGAGGGAGGGGAAAGAGCAGGGGATGGTGGAGGGAGGGAGGGAGGGAGGGGAGGAAGAAGGGAGGAGGGAGGGGAAGAGGGAGGAGGAGGAAGAGGAAGCGAAAGGGAGGGAGGCAGGCAGGACACGGCCGCACTTGCCTGCCTCGCGGCTTGAGCATGCCTCGCGGCTTAAGCCAGGACGGCCATGGATTGCAGGCTGCCCTGGCCAGGGGTGGTGCACACAAGGGATGGTGTACATTGGGGGACGGGGTGGTGCACACCGGGGACGGCCGGTGGTGCACGCCGGGGACGCCCATCGCGGTGACTCCGGCGCCGCCCCTGGCGCGCTGCGCGCGCCAAGGCGAGGGGCCCCAGCGCCGATCCAAGAGATCCGTGCGGAGCTCCGGAAAGTGCATGTTTATGCAGGTTTCGTGATTCGACGGCCTGAGAGCCCCAGTGAAGGGGAAGTCTCTGGGAGGACTAGGTTCCAAGGTGTATTAGGGCCGTCCCTGAGAGGAGGCCACAGGTGTAGCGCCAACGCCCCAACGTGGCTTCGTCATGATCGGTTCAGCCTCTGCGCAATCTGTACACAGGGAGGGGAGGGGTGCGGGAGGAGTCGATCGTGGTGGGTGACTGGGACTCTTCGCTGCGCGGACTCGGGACTGATCGCCTTGCGATGGGTTGCGTTTTCATGAGCGCTTGTCTCTTGGTGAGCGTGCGAGCGAGCGAAGAGGACGAAGAGACGAAGGAGGAGGAGGAGGAGGAGGAGGAGGAGGAGGAGGAGGAGGAGGAGGAAGGAGGAGGAGGAGGAGGAGGAGGGAGGAGGAAGGTGGGCAGGAGGACCGCACACCACTGAGGAAGAGAAAGAAAGAGAGGTCCGTGTGGTCGGCCACAAACCCTGCCGGAGGCCCCCCGGAGAGGACCCTCTCACCCGTCACACCCGAACTCGCGGGTCCCCCGGGGAGGGAGGAGGGAGGAGGGAGGAGGGAGGAGGGAGGAGGGAGGAGCCCTCGCAGCCCGGAGACGAGGCACCTGGCCCCCTCCGCCCCGCTTCGCCCCGAGCTCTGGAGGCAGTCTGCCAGGCAGAGGCCGCGCGTGGTCGCCGCCGGACCCAGACCTCGGGCGTCTCGAAAAAATCGAGACAAAGGTTTTCCTCGTTCTCTGCCTCTGGAGGCCCTCGCCGGGCCTCGGGACCGTCAAAGAACGACTCGGGATGAAAAACCGGTCCCGGGGAAGTGGTCGGGAGGGTGGGGGCCCGTGTCTCGAAAAAATCGAAACGTCGGATGTCTGGGAAGAGGGGCCCTCTGGGCCCCGGCGGCCGCAGGCAGGACTACCGACCTCGCACAAGCTCCCGGGCAGCAACACACATGCTCTCAGAGAGCAAGCATGTCTGCGTTCTGCAAAGCACGTGCTCCACAAAGTGTTGCTTTCGAAACAAGCTGCCCCTTTGCGCCACAACTTGTTCTTCCAGCGAAGCAAGGCTAGGGCCTTTTTCCTCAGGCGACTGCTACGGGCCAGCCCCGACCACACGGTGCGGCTGCTTCGGCCCACGGAGTGCCGCCCAATGCTTCGCTCCAGAGCCGTGGGGCGCCGCCGGGGCCCTGCGCGCACGGAATCGGGCCCCCGGGCGCCTGGGGCCACCGTGGCGTGCCCAGCACATGCCGAGCAAGCAGGGCGGGACGAGGAGGAGGAGGAGGAGGAGGAGGAGGAGGAGGAGGAGGAGGAGGAGGGCGCTCCCTCCTGCAGAAGTGGGAGCTCGAGCAGGATGCGCCCCCCTGCCTCCAGGGCACCTCTGACGGGCGCTCCGAGAGGTCCGGCAGGCTTGGGCTGAGGCCCTGCTGGTAAGCGGGGGGGGGTAGGAGTTAGGAGGAGGAGGAGGAGGAGGAGGAGGAGGAGGAGGAGGAGGAGGAGGAGGAAGACCCAAGAGTCAGATGGCTCCGCAGAATGCTGGCAAACTGGGGAGACCACGACGACTTATGCGCGGCAACCCTTAGCCGCGCGGGTGCCCGCTTAGGGGGACTCCCCTTCGCGGGTGGCAATGCGCCTTAAGATGTCTTCAAGCCGTGGTACGGACGGGCCCTGCTGATGTCCCAGCTTACAGGGCCAGTGCAACTGGCCAACAAAATCGGGGATTGCCTGGTGGAGGCCGATCCCGCACAAATCAAACAATACACATGTGGCCCCTCCGTGGCCATATGATGGCCACGGAGGCGCGCGAAATCAGGCCCAGCACCACTAGACACAGTCGGCGCCTGCGATTGGGCCTCCGCGGAGGCACCACCCCAAGAAGACAGACCGCTATCTGGCCAAGCACCAGTGGGTGACGACCCAGTCTCCCGAAGCACCCAGCACGAAGGAATCCATGGTCTAGCAGCCGAAGACGACCCCCCAGCAGCGGACCCCAAGACACGGTCGGCAGCACGCATGCCCCGCCGTGCAGCCTGGCGAGCGAGGCGGGCGTCGCAGCAGAGGCATCACATACAGTGCAACTACACACCGTCCCACTTCGCACGAGCTCGTGGCGGGCGCGAACCAACTGTACAGGTTCTGCCGTGGCCGAGGACATGTCGCCGCCCAGGCCCAGCAGCCGCCCACCGCCCACCCCCTCCTCCTCCTCCCCCTCCTCCCCCTCCTCCTCCTCCTCCTCCTCTCCGCCTCCTCCTCCTCTCCTCCTCCTCCTCGCTCCCTCCCTCCCTCCCTCCCTCCCTCCCTCCCTCCCTCCCTCCTCCCTCCTCTCCTCCTCCTCCCCAGGGGGGGACGCCGCAAAAGGCCGCGCCCGTCGCTCGGCTCGTCGGGGGGCCGCCGCCCGCGCCTTCGGAGCCCCGCCGCGCTGGCAGGCGAGAGCCCCCTCGCGGCGCGGAGGAGTCACGACGGGGAGGAGGAGGAGGGGGAGGAGGAGGAGGAGGAGGAGGAGGCGGAGGAGGAGGAGGAGGAGGAGGAGGAGGAGGAGGAGGAGGAGGAGGAGGAGGAGGAGGGGGAGGGAGGAGGAGGAGGAGGAGGAGGAGGAGGAGGAGGAGGAGGAAGGAGGAGGAGGAGGAGGAGGAGGAGGAAGGAGGAGGAGGAGGAGGAGGAGGAGGAGGAGGGAGGAGGAGGAGAGGAGGAGGGGAGGAGGAGGGAGGAGGAGGAGGAGGAGGAGGAGGAGGAGGAGGAGGAGGAGGAGGAGAGGGGAGGAGGAGGAGGAGGAGGGGGAGGGGGGGAGGAGGAGGAGGAGGAGGAGGAGGAGGAGGAGGAGGGAGGAGGAGGAGGAGGAGGAGGAGGAGGAGGAGGAGGAGGAGGAGGAGGAGGAGGGGGAGGAGGAGGAGGAGGAGAGGAGGAGGAGGAGGAGGAGGAGGAGGTGGAGGAGGAGGAGGGGGAGGAGGAGGGGAGGAGGAGGAGGAGGAGGAGGAGGGGAGGAGGAGGAGGAGGAGGAGGAGGAGGAGGAGGAGAGGAGGAGGGGGAGGGGGAGAAGGAGGAGGAGGAGGAGGAGGAGGAGGAGGAGGAGGAGGAGGAGGAGGCGGAGGAGGAGGAGGAGGAGGAGGAGGAGGAGGAGGAGGAGGAGGAGGGGGGTTGGGGCCATCTTCGGCCTCTGGGGAGCCCTCGGCGCTGCGGCGCGGAGGAGCCGCGGCGGGCGGGGGCTGGGGCCACCCTCGGCCTCTGGGGAGCCTCGCCGAAGGCTCTTCTCCCGCAAATCTGCAGGGGCCCTGGGACACACAAATACATACACACAAATGAAAGGTTTCCCCATAGTTTCCTACATGTTCTGGGCTTCTGTCTCCCCCCCCCCACTTCCCATATTTTCCCATCTTTTCCTGGGAGTGGACGATTCATTGTGTCTGTGTGTTTCTTTTCCTCCTGACTCTGGTCCGTATTCGCCCGAAGGAAAAAACATGCCCGAGGTGATCCAGACCGGCTGTGTCACGGAATAGTGACTCCTCGCCGACCACGAGGATCGGGATGGAGGGGAGGACGAGATGGACGAAGAGGGGCGAGGATGGAGACTAGGATGACCGAGGCCCTCGCTGGGCCCCGGGACCATCGCGACACGACTCGGGATGAGAAACCCGCCCCAGGGAACGGGTCCAGATCCCGGGGGGGGGGCCATGCCATGAGACTACCCAAGCCACGCATCCGACGTGCAACAAAGGTGAAAAAGGGTGGTCTCGAGGAGTGGGAGGTCCGCTATAAGGGAGGTTCGAGCACGACCAGGTGCACCTTCTTGCACATGTTACACGGGATCGTGTCCGCCGGGGCAAAGCATGTAACAAGAATTGGGGGAGGGAGGCCGCTTCCTGAATACATTGTGGAGAAGTCTCCGGCGAAACGGCTGCTCATCACTGCCGGAACAAACGATTTAGGGTTCCACGTCCCTCGCGTGGGATTCTTCAGCGGTCCATTCTAGTACACTCTTCTCGCGAAGTGCTATTACGTAGCAGCCTCCGTCCTGATTGTCCCAAGACGTTGAATGTCGGGCTTTCGGGTCACAACTTGGCTCCCCAGCGGCCTTCCGGGACGATCCTGACACCCCCGGAACGCCCTCGGCGAGGCGCGGCCGATGAAGGCACCCTGAGGCTGGAAAACCGCCGAAAACCGGCGAAAACTCTCGAGGGCCTCGAAACTCGAAAACTCCCATCACCCTCTCGGGAAACTCCATCAGAGAGAAATCAGAACGTCAGGGGGTCGGGCGCCCCGACGGCGAGGTCGAGGTGCGGTGCGCGCGAAGATCCGACCGCGCAGCGCCGCCGCAGGCGCTGCGAGAAAGCCGACCCCGAGATCCGACGCGGAGAAACGTTGCAACCCCTTCTGTTTCTTGCGGTTCATACGCATATTTTTCGTTGCCTTCTTTGCGCACTGGCTCCTGCAGTATTTCGCCCACGACTTCTACTCGCACGGGATGTGAGGCCACGGCCTCCTGCGCCATGCCCTAAAGGGCACGGGCACACCACTGTGCCCGACTCCGGCGCCTTCGCCTGCGCCTTCGCCAGAAGGACGGAGCCGATGCACCGTACCATGTTTGGACTCCCGTCCAGCCCCGCTCCAGCGCGGCACCGTGCATAGCTCGTCGGCTCCAGGGGGTCGGACTGTGCGCACCACACCACACCTGGGTCGAGGATCGACCGCTTGCGCCTCGAGAGAGGCCAGCGCGGCACAGTGCACACAAATCGTTCGCGGAACCACCCCTAGACCTGCGACGAAGCCAGGACAAGGACAACATCGGACCGGGACAAACTTGGGATCTCTGAGCTCCGGCGGCTCTGGAGGATGTGTCGGACGCCGCGGCCTTCTCACTGCGTTCCAAGCCGCTGTGGGAGCGCTCCAGGACGCCCTCGAACGATTCATCCTTGCCTTAGCCTCGCACGAAGACGCCAGGGCCCAGGGAGATACAAATAAATACGCACAAATCACCGGATTCCCCAGATTTTCCCATCTCTTCTGGGCTCTTGTCTCCCCCATCCACGTCCCGGACGTTCCCATCCTTTCGGGGGAGTCGACGGGTGCTTGTGCTCGTGTCTGCGTGCTTTTTCCCCCCTGAACTCTCCTGCGGCAGTTGCCGAGCCAGAGCGGCACGTCAGGGTCCCAGGCCCCCCCGGCGGCCCGAGGGCAAGCAGAGGCACGCGCCGTGGCGCAGCCGTGCGGCGCCCCCCCCGAGGCGAGGCGCAAACCGCCCGCTGTGACGAGGCGGCGACGCCGGGGTCTCGGGGAGGGGAGGCCGGGAGGCACGGGGGGGGGGGAGGAGGGGGGAGAAAGAGGGCTGGAGAGGGGGGGGGGGGGCGGAAGCGAGGACGACGAGGGAGTGGGGCAAGAGCACGACGGGGGGGGAGGGGGATGTGTGTGGGGGGGGGGGGGGCGAGCGTCTCTGAGGTTCGTCAAGCGCGCCTAGCAAAGCGGGAAGGGGGGCGCGCCTGGCCTTGAGGAAGGAGGAGGAGGAGGAGGAGGAGGAGGAGGGAGGAAGGAGGAGAAAGGAGGAAGGAGGATGGATGAGGAGGAGAAGGAGGAGGAGGAGGAGGAGGCGAAAGGAGGAAGGAGGATGGAGGTGGTGGTGGAGGAGGAGGAGGAGGAGGAGAAGGAGGAAGGAGGCGAGAAGGGGGAGCAGGGGCGCGAGGAGGTTAGTGGGGCGTCCTTGGGGTAGCTCGAACTGCAATCCTTGCTCGGCTGGTCTTTGCCACCATAGCCGCAGTCGGCGTCCACGCACTTCCACTCGTCCATGGCCCAGCAGTACGTCTGCGCGCCCTCCGCGTACAGCCAGCCGCAGTAGCTGTCGGGGTCCTCGTACCGCTTGGCATACCACGCTCTGCAGCGATGCTGTCCGCAGGGATTGTCCACTAGCGGGCCTGGGCAGGTGTCGTCGTCATCCACCACCTCCGAATCCGCCTGATCTTCACCGTCCTTTCCCCTCCCGACCCCCCCCGCCCTTTCTTCCTCCTGCTCCTCCTCCTCCTCCTCCTCATCATCATCATCATCATCATACCCCCCCTCCTGCTCGCTTCAGCCCTCTTCCTCCTGCTGCCTCCTGGATAGCGGCGCAGGTTCAAGCGCGTGAAGGTGTGTGGGGGCGCCTTCGAGATTCCTGGAAAGGATGTCTGGGGAGCCTGCAAGTCCGAGAAAGGAGTTTCGCAGGAGTCGAGAGAGAGCTTCGAAGGAGCTGCGGAAAGGCCTGCGGCAAACGCATAAGAGTCGAGTAGGACAACGCCTTCGGGACACGCAGCGGTCTCGCGGGAGCCGCTGCGGGGATGCCTGCCCGGCGCCAGAAAGAGCTCCAGGGCTACCCTGCGCTGCCCCACATCCCCCCTTGTGCCCGCCTTGCATCTCCCCTTTTGCGCCAGAATGCAGCCCTGCATACCCCATCTTGCCCGCTCTCCTCCTCGCTGCCTTCCACCGTCCTGCTCGCTTCCCCCTTCCCCCCTTCTCGCCTGGGCAGCCAGCAAAGCAGGCGTCAGTGTTGCAGCTCTTGGAGGAAGGCGAGAAAGTCTGACATTCACACGGCCCCAGCGCGTTCTTATCGGAGAGGACGGTCGGGAAGCCTATGCCAGGTGCGGGCACTACCTCTGGTTCGGAGACAGAAAACTCTTCTCCTCCTCCTGATCCTCAACCTGATCCTCATCCTCATCCTCATCACCAT